CCCCACCTCACAGCCTTGGGAGCATTGTCCCAAGGCTGGACCCTCCTGGCTGAGAAGCCTTCCTCATACCCAGCTTCACCGGGGTGATGCTGAGAGGGAAGCTATCAGGGTGGCCATAAGCCAAACACATCTGTGAACCAAGGACAATCATACGAGAAACCATTTCTTACACAGTCAGATGAAAGCACAACATGCCTTGCCTCTCGCAGCAGGACCGATGCTTTGGGTTTCCTTCTGCTTCTTCCCAAAAGAAAGGTAGGCTTTCACCAAACAACAAAACTCCCACTTTTTCAATCAAAAAAGAACTTTACTTGGTAAGAAAGTGTTTTGGTGAAGATGTTTCTGCTGACCCAAGGAGTGCAGATGAGTGACACCCCAGCAGGACTCGGTGTGACTGGCTGCTCAGGGAGGCAAACACCCCCGGCTCTTATCAAGGCTCCTGTGCACACAGTCATATGATGTGTGTGCTCGTACCTGTGCGTCAGGGGCGGTGGGCAGCCCTTCGCAGGGGTGTGTCACCATCCTCGGGGACAACCAGCAGGGACAACCCCAGCGGGGCTGAGGCTGCAGAAGGTGAGTAGCTGAGCTCCCCATCCCACTGAGGGACTGCCAGTCCTACCGCCTGCCTCAGCCAACCCTCCGACGAGGTCAAAATCTTCAGCTTGATCAGGAGAAGTCAAGCAAGGTCTGTTGGGCTCAGCACACCGAGACAAGCAGAGCCTGAGCCCAGGCCAGGAGGAAGCAGTGTAGGGCACGTGAGTAGTGCGGCGTGTGGGAGGCTGCTGTTTGGGTCTCCGGGAGGTGTTTCTGTGTGAGTAGAGGGAGCAGCTGAAGCTGGTTCCCCCATACGGGGTCCTACGGTGTCTGATGGGTCACAGGCTGATGTTCAACCTTTCCTTGATTTACCAAGCTCCTATAGCAATGTATGATACAATTTGAGCTCAGGTCACAATCTACCCTTTACCCGGGGAAATCATTGAGTCTCTGGCTTCAGGTTTATTTTCTTTGACTTCAGGTCGTGTCTTTGACTTGCTCAGGATCTTGGCAGCTGTGTCCCACAGCGCCAGGAGCAGCAGGGGAGGCAATGCTGCACAAACCTTACAGTTCAATAGGCTGGCCACATGCGGCCCCAGGCCCGGCGGGAGAGGCTGGGATTTGGGCTCGTGTCTCTCAGGGGTGCTGGCCCAGAGTGCAGAGTGCTGTGGGGACCCGAGACCACAGTGTGTTTCAAGGCGGCGAGCTGCAGTCGCACCCTGCACGCCATGCCTCAGCTTCCCAGCCTCATGGGTGTTTACTGCGTGGTGGTTGTCCTTGCCTCCTGGACAGACATGCTCTTTACGATTTCCTTCTGCTTTTGCTTAGATGCCTCACTTGAATTAAGGCAAATCCTTCTGAGAATGTCCCTGGACAGACATGTGGTGGTTTGGGTGGATTCACCCTTTTTGCTTGCAGCTTTCAGCCAAACACAGCCTAATTACTAAAAAGAAAATTAACTCTATCCTAGCAAAACCAGGACAGGACAGTGAACCCAAAGGCATCTGTAGGCATTCATACAGGCCAGGGTCAATACTGGAGTTTTTCAGCAGAAAATCCCTCTTGGTGCTCTCTCCAGCCCTGGCATGTGGGCAGGTCTCACCTGAGGTGGGCTGCAGTCTGACAGCCCTGCCAGGCAAAGGCCCCAGATGGAAACAGCTTGATTTCTGACACCTTAGCCAGGTCCAGCAGGCATGGCCAGGCGTGGTCTCACGTCTCTCAGAGCCCAAACCCCTTGTAGGTTAAAATAAGCATCTCGGACTTCACGTGGAGCTTGATGATGAGTTTACAACTGTCTGTGCTGCTGCCAGCGGGGTGGAGGTGTCTCTCTCTTTTGCTTTCCCCAGGTGCTTAGTTCTGTCTTCACTCATCTCTGCTTACCTCACTCTTGGAAGAGGACTGACCTCCCACCCGTGTTTCCCTGACCAGGTCTGTGCTGCCGTGTGGGAGGGTGGCAGGATGGCTCGGAGGATGAGCATCAACGAGCTGGAGGACCAGCTACTTTGTCCCATCTGCTTGGAGGTCTTCAAGGAGCCCCTGATGTTGCAGTGTGGGCATTCATACTGCAAGTCGTGCGTGGTGTCACTCTCTGGAGAGCTGGATGGGCAGTTCCTGTGCCCCGTGTGCCGCCAAACGGTGGACTGCAGCGCCTCGCCACCCAACGTCACGCTGGCCCGTGTCATCGAGGCGCTGCAGAGCTGGGGCGAGGCAGAGCCCACCCCAGAGTCCTGCCCAACACACGACAACCCCCTCAGCCTCTTCTGTGAGGCTGATCAAGAGGTGATCTGCGGGCTGTGCGGCACCATTGGCAACCACCGCCAGCACAAGATCACCCCCATCTCTACCGCGTACTGCCGGATGAAGGTTGGCAGGCAGAGCCGGCCGGGGCTCCTGGGGTGGGGGTTAGGGCACCTGCAGTGCTTGCTGGCCACATGTCCCCTCTCCTTCAAGGAACAGACTGGAAATGATGCCGGTGTGGGGAGCATGGTCCCACAGCACAGCCAGATGTGGGGCAGGATTCCTGGGCTGGGGGGCAGCCGTTTCTCAGGCTGAGCACGTCCCCGGCTGAGAGCACTCAGGGTTTTGGTGTCTGAACCGTGGTGGAGAGAGCCGGGGTTGGGGAGTGTCGGCGAGGCCTTTCAAGACTGTTTCCAAATACCATCAAAGAGAGTCTGGAGATAAGAGCTGAGGCGAGGTGCCACAGGAGAGCTGGGAGGAGGGAAACAGGAGCCCCAGCCAGGCAGAGTAAACAGCTGGCGCCTCCTGCCCAGCATCACATGAAAGTCCCAGGGCCACCCATCCCCTCCACTCCTGGCACCAGGGAGATAAGAGCAGGAGGCACTAGAAACGCTCCTGCCCCAGCCAGGCTTCCAGCACTGGCACTGGGAGGGTACCACCAGCCTGGTGCTGGCTCGTGGCTGCTCACCACCCGCTTGCCACCTGCTTGCCTGGTGTGGAGCCACCATGGGGTGTGAAATACAGAGAGTTGGGAATGGAAGCAGAGACATGGTCCTCCTGGCAAGAGTACTGGGTCAGCAGCATCCAGATTGGGGCCATGCTCTGAGCACTCTCCTGCCTCTGGCAACCCAAACCCTCTAGATCAAGAGAGTGAAGATCAGCAGGACATGCAGGGCCCCAGAAAGCTTAGAGAAAGGTGAGGAGAACATGGCTTCTTGAGGCCATGTGCTCCTCAGGGGGCTGACACGCACTGCCTACAATCACCTCGGGAGGCTGCCACAGAGGTCCCTCCTACAGAGGTGCTGTGTTTTCAGGAGGAGCTGTCTGTGCTGCTGACCGATGTCCACCAGTACAAGAGGAACCTGGATGAACACTACAGCAAGCTCATCAACAACAAAAGCCGCATTGCAGTGAGTGTTGTGTGCCAAGGGAGCCTGTGACCCCGAGTCCTCTGTGTTCCATACGGCCCCTGGAGCAACTTCTGCCCCTGGGTTGCTCCAGCTCACCTCCTCTACTCCTTCTCTTCCTCCTTCCCTGGGATAGCAGACAGCGCTTACCTTCCACCCTGTTCCTGAGATTCATGTTCTCCATGAAACTCGGAGATTAAGCAAAGACCTGTTTTGGGGAAGGGTGACGTAGCCCTTTCTGGTGGCACAGCGCTGTTTTCAGAAGAGCTGAAGTCACCCTCACTGAGTGTTCTGGCAGGAGCAGCGGTCAGAGCTGGTTTGACCGAATGTCCTTGGAGGTGGGGAGATAACACAGGGAAGGACCCCACTCAGAGTGACGCTGTTGGTTTCACTCCGAGTTTATGCCTGGTTTAGCTGCATGTCCATTTCCTATGCAGTAAATGTCTCCAAGGGACTTCCTGGCATCTCTTCTGAGGCTAAAGCTTGCTAGAGGGGCTCCTCAGAAGGGCTCAACCCAAATGCAACTGGAGCTGTGCTTTCTCCCCCTTAGCCCAGAACACAGGTTGTTCCCTGGGAGCAGAGGGATCCAACAGTTCTTTCAAGGCTCTGATGAAGCTGGTTGGGACATCAGGAAATCAAAATCTGGGGAAGGAGAGGTGTAAGGCGGGTGCTGTGGTGACAAGCTGCTGAGGACAGCAGGATGAAACAATATCTACCCTGCTGTACAGAGCTACTCTTTAGTTGGGAAGCCAGTGGAGTGTGGCTCGGTGGGACATGTTGACATTGCTGGTGTCATCTCTGAAACAAAAAAGCAGGTGAAGGGGATGGAGCAAGGTAGCCCTGTACCAGCCACTTGCTGTCTCCTGGCAGAACGAGGCGGATGTCTTCAAGTGGGTGATCCGGAAAGAGTTCCAGGAGCTGCACAGGTACATCGATGAGGAGAAGGCCACCTTCCTGGAGAGCATCGAGGGGAAGGCAGCCCAGCTCATCAGCTCCATTGAGTCCCAGGTCAAGCAGACATCAGACGCCCTGCAGAGGCTTAAGGAGATGCAGAGCTTTCTGGAGGAACTCAGCAACGAAAGCCAGCTTGATTTCATCCGGGTGAGCGTGCTCGCTAGTGAAGGCAGTGACAGTCAGCCAGGCTCTCCAGCCTTCAGCCCGTGGCTCGTAGCCCTTAGCCCTGCCCTGGGCCATGGGAACCCTCACCAAGCATAGCTGGGACACCACAAGAAGGGAGATGTAGGTGCCTTCTGTCCAGCCAGGGCTTCCCCTGATGGGAGAAACTTGCTCTCCATGGGAGGTCATGCCCTCAGCTCTCCCAGGAGAGGAGAGTCCTGGCCTCTCCAGCCCAGGACACAGATGTGTGCAGCTGTGACCACGCAGAAGAGCTGCTGTTCTCTCATTTCCCACCACCAACTCTCTCTTTCTCTTGTGTTTTCCAGAAATATGGCTCCTCCCAGTTCAGGTGAGTGGTGGGACCCAGCAGCAAACAGCATTACTTGGGATGACAGTGACTCCACAGCAGGGCTGGAGGTCCCAGGCCAGTGGGCATCTCCACATTGCTGGGGCAGCCTCTCATGGACACATCACATGATGGATGGCCACAGCCAGAGCCACACACTCAGCCCTGGAAGAGGGCAAGAGCAGCTGGTGAGACACCAGTGGCTCCATCATACTTGGCAGCCAGGTGAGAAGAGATCACACACCGTCCCCATCACCTGTGTCACGGCTGCTCATGTTTTTCCAGGTCAGAGCTCCCCAGCTTGCACCCCAGCGATGGCATCTTTAGCCCCGTGTCCTTCAAGCCATGTTTCCACCAAGATGACATCAAGATGACTGTGTGGAAGCGCCTGC